AGAAAAGAAAAAAAAAAAAAAAAAGAAAGGAAAAGAAAAAAAGAAATGCACGTCATCCAGGAGGAACAGACAGCAAGCGTAAAACAACGGGGCCGCGTTTATCCGCTTATCCGCGTAATTCTTTTCGCGGTCCGGCCGGATGCTTGCGGAGGAATTCGCGAGCTGTGGCCAGTAGGTGTGGCCATAGGTGTAACATATTTATGTTGTGAACCGGCCGAGTGCGGGCAATAAATAGCGAGCGCACGACCGGCCACGGGGCCAGCAGGGACTGCGAGGTTGTGCGGGAGGGAGGGAGGGAGGGATATGGAGAGGCGGAGGGCAGGTACGAAGCGTAGGGGGTAGTTCGTTGAGGCGCGGGGTTAGAACGATTACGCTTTCCAAACCCCTGGTCGTTCGACCGAGTCACTGGCACCGCCACTGGCACCACCATCGGCACCACCACCGTATCTACCCCCGCGTCGCCCACACGCATCCCCCGTCCACCTTCTATCACCATCTATCTTTCTCTCTTTCTTTCTCCCAGCCCCGTATCTCTCGCGTTCCGTCCCTGCGTGTATCCCTACCCAGTCCCTTCGTTCACTCACCTTCACGTCCTACCCCCTGTCCCGTCCACACCAGAGGCTGTACGCCGGCCGAACAATCCTATTCGTTTGTTTCCAGCCCGTATGCACGCATATACGGAGGCATGCAATTTCGGTGTTAGGAATGCGCGAACGAGCGCATCCCAGACAATGTTTGCGTTGGACGGAGGACCAGGCGCGCCTTCTTTGGAAAATGCCATCGCGGAACGCGGACGCTCTCGGACGACCATAGGGGTGGTTGTATTACTCATTGCGCTGTTTGGACGCTTCCAACCCTATCCGAACACAGTTGTCGCTTCTCTCGTTCGTTGTCGTGTAACGTTATGCTTTTAGGGTTCGTGGACTCCCGATGTCGATGATTTCGAGACAGATTGGATCGGTAGATCGTTGTTGTTCAGAAAGATCTAGTAATTCTTTTCAACTACTTCTCTTCGTTCCTTTAGAAACAGTGTTTCACTAGACGTTAAATTCATTGTCTTAGCATGTTTGTCGTTGAATCTGTTATTAGTCGACACTAGACTACGGAGTTTCGTGGAAATCTCTATTTCTGAACTACTTGAAAATACTTGGTAAAGCGTGGGAGTTAGGCGGAGGTGCACTTTACCTGTTAAATATCGCAACAGGTATTTTGCCCCATTTAGCAATTTCTGTTATACATACATCGCGTTTATTCCGGATATTTTCGTACTGTACGTAAATATTCGCATCCCGCAAGTCCTACTGACAGCAAAAGGTTTAGAAACTCGAGATACGAGGATCTTATCTCATATCACGATCGAGCAGAACGAAGTAAGACTTGTAGACAAATACATACGTAGTGATAACACGATGATCGGGTGATCGGAGAGAGACAGAAACGCAACCGCGTGCACAGACACGCGCGAAAGCACGCGTACGCGGCTTCGAGTCACGGCTATGCGAGCCATCTTAGGAAGCGAGCACCCCTCGGCATTCGAGCGATCTCGACCGATCGAGAATCGAAGGATAACAGGAACGCGGAGCGCCGAGTGGCCGCGTGTGCGTCGGCTGTCCGGCAATCCTAATGATGCATATCTCTCCTCGGCCCGTTATGTCTTGAATGTCACGACGATGCGATATCTGGCGGACCGGTATCGGTCGGCGAGGCCGTTGCCGGGCAGTCGGCGGGGGAGGGAATTGAACAACGGGAGAAGCACGAAAGCTAGCCGGAATCGGGGGTGGTGTATGGTCGCAATGAGGTTGAGAGCTTGCGGCCGGATGCCAGTCTAACCATGTCTAGCGTACGTTTACTTGCAAGCTTGCCAGACGCTCGTACGCATCGCCAGCATCCGAGCAATGCGGCACAAGAGTCCGCGTCGTCGCTGACGATGCGCTTCAAGATGCACTCTCTCTCTCTCGCTCTCTATTCCTCGAGAAGCATGCTTCTGCTTCGAGGATTGGCCTGATTCGTCGTACGCCTGATCTCCACGAGGCGACGTCTCAGCGTGAAACGTGACTTGGCGTACGTAGAGAAGGAATCACGCTGACGGAAAGAACGTCAGAAGCTCTTAGGTTGTGCTTTTTCAATTAATGTCCTGAACGTTGGCTTTAGCGAAGGAACGATGAGTGATTGGAGAATAAGAACAAGATGCTTTTAGACTGTTCTTGATACTGACGTACATCGTATTTAGCGGAGAAGGGATAATACTGAGAAAATTAAAAAGTTAAAAGATTTCTTAAGAGATGCGTCTTCATCAAGTATTCCTAGTTTTTCTATTTTTAAGATACTAGTAATAGATTATGGTAATACTGTCTCATATTTGGGAAATATTTTTTAAAAGTTTCTTGAAATGTCTTTATTACTCAATTCCTTGTAGAGCACGTTTTATTTAGTATTGATCTATTAGGTGGTAGTTGTTGAGCAAGTATTCGATATTCGATAGAGAATATTACCCTCGTTGTTGAAATATGTCAAGCGTTAAATGGTGAATATTCTTTAAATTTTCGCTCTCTACCTCTATAAAAGTTATTCACTCGCGCGAAAGATAACAAAGGGAAACGCAGCGTCGCCATTCCTTCACCTTTGAACGCGTCAATTCCTTTCACAGAGGAGGCGTGGCTCGCCGACACTGCGCTCGATGAAACAGGAAAAAAAAAAAAAGGAAAAATGACGAAAAACGCAAATTCCATTTATCATACAAACGCGGGCGCGGGCGCACGCAAATGAATTTTTTAAGTGTCCTTTTCGCGAGGACACGCGCGTATTTCGACGCTTTGGCTGCGTTAACCCGGCGAGATTCGAGGACGCGCGATGGGTAATAGGCGGCCGCGAATGAAATTTCCAGCGCCCCCTGCGCCGGCCACCCTTGTGTGTCGCGCACCGGCACACCGGTGTGTGTGCGTACACCTCGCGCATTCCGCAGCGAGATTGCGCAAAAATCGGGCAAAACAAACGCAACTAATTTAACTGCTTTCGAACAATTAATCCGAAGCATTTAATTTAATTGCGCCGCAGCCCGTCGAGACCGGGCGGCAGCGTCAGTTGAAACAACAACCGATGCGAGACCCAGCCGGAATTTTCGGCTCGTCGCGCTTGACTCGAATTCTTTCGTATGCAAACAACCGAAAAAAAAATATACATATATATATATATATATATATATATATATATATATACGTATACACACGCGCGAAATCAAACTACGATCCATGCACGTCGAAAGATGAAAATCAAATATCGAATCCGGCCAGCTGGAGGAAATTGCGCAAGCGATGCACTCTTACGAAATTGAACTTTGAAAATACGTAGGGCGAATATTATTGTAACGAGAAAGGGAGAGAGAGAGAGAGAGAGAGAGAAATTGAAGGTAGTTTTCCAATGGAAGAAGACGGAGAATCATGTACTGTAAACGTTTAGGGCAGAGGGGAGGTGGAAAACGAGCGAGTGGGTAGATGTAATTAATAGCAAACCCGTATAAATCAGAGACAGGCTGGATGCACGTTGGTATGCGCGGTTCCCGATGCGGGATTATGCCCAGAGGGGCGGTTACCCCACGACCCGCTAATTTTTCAAACGGCCGCCATAATGGTCCCGGCTAATTACTGATTTTTATCTCCGCGAGTCGGTACTGTGAGAAAGAGTCGTTGGACCATGAGGAGAGGGACAAAGAGAATGAAAAAAGAAATGAGCGAAAGAGACGAACGCAGAGACCGAGGGATAGAGCGGATACGGAAGAAGAATTGGATTCGGGTCAATGCTCGCTTTTGTATCGCGATTTTAAACAACTGAGAAATTTCCCCGTGACAAAAACGTGCTACTCAGGGTAACGATCGAGACATATTTTTAACATCGTAACGATCGTTTCTTTAAATCAGCGAATTCAGCGTTAAAAGTATAAGAAAATAAGATAGAAGTATTGAAGACATACGTTTAAATTATTGTAATGTAATGAAAACGAATCGTCCATCACATGACGCCGCAAAAACGTGACCAATTGCTGGCACAAAATGTCAATCAGAAATAAATCTTTCTTTCAACAACGTTACGATGTTCTCTCGTGAAATAACCGACACCTAACGCAATGTTCAAACTCAGAGCCCAGCGAATAGTTTCGAAGCTCGTGGCGTTAATACTTCCAATTGCTATTAGGTGGATCCGCTGTACGGAAACTTACCGAATTCACTGGAGGATTGTTGTTCACGTGTACGGGACGTTTCAAGTTACATACC